AAATAGCAAAAATACGTGTTCCTTGTTTTATTTAATTAAATACCATCCCATCAGCTGCAATCACCATAAATAAAGACAGACATACACAACCAAAAAACATAATCCAACACATAATTGAAGATAACAATATCTAGAAATTTTTTTATGACTATGCATAAACATACCAATATTAATTTTATACAATACACACTCAGTTGATTCTAAATTTGGGAACTAAGTTTTACCACTCTTTAAGTTTTATCTGTATTCCTCTCATGAGACGCACAATGCAAACAATGCTCTCACAAAGGGGTCTACTGCCGAGGCATCTACATACATATATTGCTCAGATTAGTTCCCCAAAACATCCTGTTCTAGAAGACAAACAATCTAATGATCCTAAATAATCATTAATCAACAATCAGCGCCCCTTCTAACACCACACATCAGAGAAAAGCAGGAAGCATGTCGGACAGAAACAAGTAGCTAACAGGAATCAATAGACAAGGGGAGAAGGGGAGGACGGGGGTACTTGTGACATATATCTTCAAGATCAATCCATAAGCTGCTCATGCCTCAACCATATAGGAAACCAGTTCTGTTCCACCTCACCTTCCATCGGATGAGGTAAATGATTCAGCAAACCCTGATGGCCTTGTAGGTATGCTTGTTTGGGTATTGTCTCTACTTGCAAGGAAGGATGATGAAGAAGAATCGTCGAGGTTGCTATCTCCATAGGCCTGCCACTTCTTCAGGGCTTGTGGTAAGGTCATGTCAAGATCAATTCCATAAATGTCCTCGGAGTTATCTTCTGAAGGCTTCCACACATCAATGAGAGAAGAGAGGACATTTACTACATGACCCATTTCAGGTCTCTGGTATGGCTCCCTAGCACAACAGTGGCCAGCCAGCTCAGCAACAGTATTGATACTAGCAACAGTCTCCTCGTTGAGTTCAAGGGTGGGATCGATTGCTTTTTGGAAAGAGTCCTTGTTAATGTACATCCTCCGGAACCAAGTCACCAGGTGAACACTGTTCTCTGGTTGGGTTTCGTCAAGTGCCCTCCGCCCCGTAATTATCTCCATTAATATCACTCCAAAACTGAATACATCAACTTTTGTAGTTATGCGGCCCATTACTGGCAAAACAAAACACAAATCCAAGTTAGAGGAATTAGACCAACATATCAGATAACTAGCAGAGTATCATTTTACCTTTTTGTATATGCAGCTAACAAGTAATCTAACACGGTATTATAACACCTTTATGTTCATGCCAAGAGATAAAGAGAGAGACCCTTACTTATGGATGAGAATATTACTAAATTTTATTTCATAGGTAGTAACTATTTATAAAAGGGAATTAGATAATAAATATCAAGTACTCGTAGTCGAAACTATTAAATAACACAGATCACAGATGGTAACTCAGAATCCCCCCCCCCCCCTTTCCCCCAACAATCTTAGTCTGCCTGTAGTCATACCCAGAAATTGCAAACCATGCTTACTAGGTAAATAGTGAAACATCCCACTAACAGCGTGTGCAAGTGTTATCCTGCTTTTAGTTTTGTTTAATAACACAAAACTGGGGAAATTGGGAAGTGTTGACTTCTGAAAGAACACTTATTCGTGGGTGATACTGGTTAATATAACAGATATTATCAGCAAATGACCAATAAAGGAAGCTTGCTTCTCATTAGATAAATTAGAAGGTTAATTAAAGCACATCCTAGAATTAAATTTGTCAAGCCAGAGGATGCTTAGTTGTTATTAGGAAGCCTTAACTCTACAAGGCCTCTGGCTTTTATGGACCTTATTAAACAAGCTTATCAAGAGTCAAAATTCACACATAACCCCCAACAAACTTGCACAAGCACACACACAAAGACAAACATGCTCCTCCAAGCTAAATTATTATTTCATCAGTTGACAAAGCATATCTGTTAACAGATCTTCTATTTGATTCAATTATTTAGCCAGGAAAAGAAAAAGCAGTAAGCAAAACACCATGTCATAATTTTTTTTTTTTTAGGAAAGAGTTCCTGTTTTGTTAATATTTAGGACCAGAGTTACCTGATTTGACCCCACCCCTGCAAACCGAAATAGTAAATTCTACTAGCAAATTGGTATTTTTGGCCCAATTTAACAAATTAGGTAGCCAACCCGTACCAAATCTCATACTAGTAAATCAGGAAACATTGTTAAGGATATAGCGCAGCCTTGACAAGTAAAGCATTAAGGATCGGATAGCATCTTAGTTAAATAAATTGTCCCCTTTGTCTTTGAATAATAGGCCACATTTGATTGGAGGTTATTTTGAAGAACATTGAGTTGAAATTTCTTTACTACCCTTCACCAATCAAAGATTTATATCTTTACTATTCCAATATTGTATTTCTTTGAAATTCTGAATCAAAGATATTATCATTAATGGTGGTATGATAAAGTTAAAATCTTAACTTACTAAAACTAGAAAGCGACATATCATATAGTGGTGACCATATTAACTATGCTTATCACTTTGAAGCAGACATATACAGAAGAATATCTCAATACATAAGGATTTAACTTTACCTGCATATTCAGGAGCTAGGTAACCAAACGTGCCTGCCAGCCTGGTTTCTATCGAGGTTTTCCCACCATCAGGTGCAAGACGAACAAGTCCAAAATCTGCAACTTTTGCACGCATATCATCTCCCAAAAGAATATTAGAAGGTTTAAGATCCCTATGAATGAAACTTTGATGTGCTAAACTGTGTAAATACTCAACGCCTCTGGCCACATCTAATGCAATAGTTAACCTTTGATTCCATTTAAGAGGTTCCAATTCCTCATCCTTCCAATGAAATAGGTATCTACTCAAATCACCTTGTGGCAAGTACTCATAGACAAGAAGCTTCTCATTTCCATCCAAACAGAATCCCAGGAGGGCAACCAAATGTCGATGGCGAACTTTAGTAAGAACAGCAATCTCAGACTTAAATTCTGCCAATCCTTTGTCTCCTAAAACTCCAGAATTCATCCTCTTCACTGCAATCTGGGTTCCATCAGGCAGCTCCCCTTTATAGACTGTTCCAAAGCCCCCTCTTCCCAGAACATTGTCATCACTAAAGTTGTTAGTCACATTCCTCAACACTTGAATAGAAATGACCATGTTATTAGTCTCTATTACATGGACATCACTAGTGCCACTGCTCCCCTGACTTTGGTCCTCACTCATTGCCTTGCCATTCACTCCAGACCCGGTGAATGTGATTTTGACAGCATCATCAGACCCAGAATGATTTGGATGGATCACCACAGTATTAGACTGTTGTACCCTCCCATAGAGCTTTTTCCTTCTCAAGAAACAAAATAGCATTAAACTAGCAAAAGAAACAAAGACTACACCTCCAACAACTGATCCAACAACTACTCCAACTTTGGAACTTTTTCTAGAGGTTTCTCCAGGTCCACCAGAAGAGCCACCTCCAGTGGATGTGCTAGGATGATCTTTGCCAATATCAGCATTCCCACGTGCATTAACAGCAGTGTGGGCAAAAGCTGGAATATTACCATAAAGATTATTAAAAGACACATCAAGTGTCCTGAGGTTAGGCATTTTCGTAAGTTCATCAGGTATGGTACCCGTGATATTATTATGTGAAAGTATCAATGTCTTAACCAATGTAAGAGTAGCAAATTTTGGCGAAAGAGTTCCAGTTAGACCCTTACTCTGTAAACTTATTATTGTAATGTTATCTTGAGAGCAAGTTATCTCCAACCAACCAATACAAGGATTATTGCCTCCCCAATCTTGGGCAATTTGAAAAGGGTATCCAAATGGTTCCATAACTGATATCAATGTATTCACACGGCTATCACAGTTCACACCAGGATCAGGCAAACAAAACCTGTTCTTGTCGGGTAAGATGTCTGCAGCTACTGAATCAGGAAATTTAGGGGTTGGTCCTTGTAGAGCATTGTTTGTCAAGTTAACCACCTTAAGGGATGACATTCTTGTCAAAGAAACAGGGACTGGACCTGTGAGGCTATTGTCCCTCAAATTCAGATCCTCTAAACCAGCCAATTTTGACAAATCTGGAATAGGACCGGTGAGGGCATTCATATTCAACCATATTTGTACCAACTGGGTCATATTCTGCAAAACATCAATTGTCCCATTAAGACTTCGACTACCATGGGAATCCAATTGCCCATTTAACCACAGGGACTGAAGCCCAAGACCCGAAAAACTCGAGGGTAAACCACCAGTCAGATTATTGTTGGACAAGCGCAAATGGATTATACCTGGGAAATTATCAGGGTTGAAAATATCAGGTATATTACCAACAACATTGGCTGACATAGCAGAAAAATTCTTCAAAGAAGAAGCATCCTTGAGCCCCTGAGGTATAGACCAAGTACTAAATGGGTTACTGTCCAGATATACTTCCTGGAGTGAAGTCAAACCGTCAAAGAAGTCATCAGGGATAGAACTAAAACTGTTGTTATGAAGATATAGCCTCTGTAGCGAGCTCAGCCCCTTAAAACTCGGTAATGGGCCTGTTACTTTGTTATTCATCAGCTCAAGGACTTCAAGGCTTGTGAGGTTGCCTACTGCAGGGGATAAAGTGCCAGTCAACCCTAGACTTCTCAATTGTATGCGTGTGACCCGATTGCTCGAGTCACAAGCCACACCCGGCCACTTGCACGAGTCTGGAGCAGACCAATCAACATTTGTAGGGAGCTTTAGGCTCTGTTTCAAGGACTGCATTGCAGCAGAATCCAATGAGGCGGACTGTGGAGTAGTGGGCACTACAAGCAGAGACACTACAAGAATAGTCATCTGCAGAGTAACCATCCGTAGGGTTGAAGCCCTCGGATGCTCGATCGACATCTTCGTGACAATTATCACACCTACATAAATTATCAGTTTAAAAAATCATCATCACCAACCTATGAATAACCAATATATAAATTATCTCAATTTTTGAGGTCTAATGGTTTCATTTCAGTTCAGTTCATTCAGAAACTGCAACCCTATATTCCAAGATCTTCATCTTTCACAAAATCAACTAGAAACCTAAATCCAACATGCATCTATAAACAAGAATCACAATTCCAATTTAATTCAGAAATTCCCAATTCAAACAAAAACCCTAAACTACACATCTTAAACTAAAAAAAAAAAAAAAATCATTATATAATCAACAATTCCAAAACCAATCTTAAACCCAGAAATCACAACCCCACAAAAAACCCACAAACCCCAATACACAAAAACACTATAAATAACAACCCACCATAAAATTAACTCAAAAACTCAAAATTAATCCCAGAAAAATCAAAATTCAGACAACCCAAAAATAGAAAACAAAACCCAGAAAAGCTAACCTGGAGATCAGCAGGACAAGTGTAGAACTGAGGAGAGAGAAACAGTGTCAAAGCTAAAGAAGAGAGAGAAAGAGAAACGTTACTGTAAGAATTTCAGTATCTTGCGGCGTGTTTGGCTGAGGGTTTTTTTTTTTTTTTTTTTTTTTTGAGTTGGTAAGAATAAATGAGAAAGAGAAAGAGAAAGATGGTAAGAAAGTAGGAGTATAAATTTGGAAGTAAAGAAGAAGCAAATTCGGTTGAGAGATTCTTATTACCAATTGAGATTCGAAATCAATCTCCGTTGATTATGGATTAATTTGATGAAGGTGATAATGGAAGACAACAAGAAAGAGAAAATGGCGGGGTAACTGGCATTGTGTAGTACTTTCATAACATAAAATCGTGTAATAAAGTCAACCTTTAGACTAAATTTTTTTCTTTCGTTATATTTAGGAATGCTATTTTTTTTTTTTTTTTATTTTTTTTTTTCTTTTTTTGATTATTATTATTATTATTTTTTTTTTTTTCTGAAAATGATAGTATGAATTGTAATAAAGAAAATACGTCTTGCTGGTATAAAATAAGGTATTTTGGTCTAATGTTATTTAATTTTAGGAAAATGCTATTCATAACCCTAAAGACTATGTATAACAAACTAAAAGATGAAAGTATTAATGAAATTTCATCATTAATTACACTAATTTACGCGTTATTTTGTCTTACATTCTTAAATTAATACCATATAAGGAAAGATATTTAATGCTTATTTATAGCCGGCTACATAAAGCATTATCGTTAATTTTATTTTATGTAACTGAATATAGTTTTGTTTTTTTTTTTTTTTTCAATTATATTAGCTATTTTTTCTGTGTTACATTTAAGAATGCATTTTTTTTTTTAATCATAGTTTGAGGCATTGAGTTGTGTAATAAAGCAGATGTGTTCACTCGCATAAAATCAGGCGTCATTTTGGTCTAATTTTATTTAATTTTATTTCATATATGTGATTGAATATAATTTTAGCTGTACTTTTACATTAATGTTTTAAGTTAAATATGGGATGTTATATATGTTTAAAGGATATATTTCAAATATGCAAGTTTTAAGATTTACATTAATGTGCAATAAAAAATATGAAGTATATAGTAATAAATAAACAAGAATTAAAATTATTGTATGATTTGTTCTCAGTAATACGCAGTATATTGACAAGTCTAATCTGGTCCAATTTTGACATAAATAAGTTTATGTACTTTTGATATAAGTTGAAGATAATAAAAGGAAATAAGGCTAATACATTTAGAAAATTTGTTTTATAAAGAATTTATCATTTTAGAATGTTATTAGACATACATCAAATCGGTTTTTATTTATATAATTAAAAACAAACTTATCTTTGGACACCTAAGATTGTTTGTTCCATCACCCATGACTAAACGTCCAAGCATCTTAATCAAAGAGATTAAATTACCAAAGAAATTAATACAGTATATGTTATCACTTGATTGGTTAGTTTAATTTAGGAATTAAATTATGGATAATTTGGTGTTTGTGATGTTATTTTAAGCAATTTGTACTTAAGCTATTCAATTAGGAAACGTCTTTCGTGGGAAGTTTTTGGACTTGCATGTTCAACCCATTTCCTCCAATCATTATTATTAGGAAACATAGAGAACTCGAAGTAGAGTTGGAAGCTCCATTTGATCTGTTAAAGAGTAGACATGCAACATTGTTAGTAGGAAAAGTAATTCCGTTTGAACAATTATATATACATATAAGAAAATTATCTTAAAAAATTAGCTAACCTTGATGAACAAGTTTTTTTATTGTGTCCCTTTTGTCGACAAACACTACATGTCACCCTTGCTCGATTACCTTCATCCATCTCATTTCGTAATCTTTGGGAAGGAGGTCGTCCAGGACTACGCTTGTGACTAGCATCGGCAACAACTTTTGGTCCATTATAATGTGTCCAATAGTCTTTGTCAGGGATAGGATGAAATGTAGCTCTAAATGTTCCCATATATTCACACTTGAATAAAATGGGTCAACAAATTGAGCTGGTGACAAACTATATGACCTACATACAGCAAGAACATGGGAACAAGGAATTTTGTATGTATGAAGCTTGTTGCATGTGCAAGTTTTACGACTAAGGTTGACTGTATGGGTATGAGAACTCTTTTTTTGTTCTCTATTGCCACGTCCAGTTGTCACTTGGTAGATGTCATCGTCTCGGTGATACATCTCAACCTTGTGATGAACTGCTTTAGCATCATTAGCTTCTATGTCCTTCGTTGTTTTATCGCTATACAAATGTCCATCAAGAAACCTTTTTTTCGATGATTCACGTCTTTGTACAAAATATGTATTCACTCGAAAGAATGTCAATTTGACTAGTGCTGTAATAGGTAAAAAACGAGCTCCCTTAAGCACATTACTGAAGACCTCAGCTAAGTTGGATGTTTTTAGCCCATATCTGAAACCACCATCATGGCAAAGAGACCACATACTAGCATCAATATTAGCTAAATATCGACGAGCTTCTACATTCATCTCACCTATTTTTTGCAATCCATGGTCAAACTTTTTCTTTTGATGTTGGAAAGCTGTCCAACCAAATATTTTCTTCAGCTCTTTGTTCTTAAATTGAGTATGAACATTTGAGGCCAAGTGACGAATACAAAATCTATGATACGCATATGGCTCTCTCCATCCGGTGTTTTCTTCCTTCATTGCTTTCATAATGCCACCATGTCTATCTGAAATAACACACAAGCCAGATCGTTGTGTAACAAATCTCCTTATACATGCCATAAACCATGGCCAAGTGTTGCCATCTTCACATTCAACAATGGCAAAAGCAAGTGGAAAAAGCTGGTTATTAGCATCAACGCTCATTGCAATTAAGAGAGTCCCCTTATATTTTCCATATAAATGAGTCCCATCTATGGTGATTAGAGGGCGACAATGCTGAAATCCCTCTATAGAAGGACCAAAAGCCCAAAAAACTCTCTGGAAAATATGAAGGTTAGGATCCGCGGTTTCACGATTGGCAAAGTGAACAATGGTACCGGGATTTGCCTCCACCATAGCTTGCATGAATTGTGGAAGAATTTCATATGACTCCTCCCAATCACCAAAGATTTCAGCTATAGCTATTTGTTTTGCACTCCAAGCTTTTTTGTACGAGATAGTGTAATTGAATAGATTTTTCATCACCTCAATCAAAACACGAACCTTGACGGATGTATCAACCTCTACAATGTTGCGTATATGATGAGCAATAAACTTAGATTTCAAGTTAGAGTGATCCTTTGGAAGAATGTCACTAACACAAGTGAAAGTATGAGGACCCTTGTATGTGACAATTGTAAATTTATCGGAGACTAAAGTCTTGCGTGTAGCTCTTAACTTCCAAGAACAATTCACAGGTTTCCTACCACAAATAAAGGTTATTGTGGTTGGTCTTGATTCACTCACTTTAAAACTTTGATTTCTTTGTACAGAGTAACTTGTCACTGCCTCAATCATTGCATCTTTGTTTGCAAATTCTTGACCAATGCAAAATTCAACCCCTGACTTGTAAGAAGCCACAGAAACCCATGACACCCACTTATTAACTTCATCTTCGTCAATTTCGTTAATTTGTGTAAACTCAGGGACTGGAGCACTAGAAGATACTACATCACTCTGCTTATCTTTGTTACTTTCGGCAGTTATGTCACCCTTATTCACCATATTTAATTCCTCATTAGCTTCATCACCTTCTCTATCACCCTCCTCGACGTCAACATCATTACAAGTGAAATGTATATTGAGAATTATGACTATCCTCTAATGTATGAGCATTAGTAACTTGATCAAAAAAATATTGGTCATTTGTGAACAACTAGTATATGTACTATTTGATGGATTTTCAAATGACATTTTCCTACAAATTAGAGTAAAAAAAATTATTATATAATCATACATATAAAAAAAAAAATCAAATCAAACTAGCTACTCCCAAAACTCAATAAATCTAATGTCGTCTACTCCTTTTCACAGTACAATTAGTCATTTAATATTGTAGGCATTATTTAATCAAAGCTAAATTAATTACATCATAATAAGCAATAACCCTTGGATTTAGTAGTAAAGATATTCATACAATTGTATATTAAGTATTGTGACTCTGAGCACTTGTAAGTGGTGCATGTCTGACATATTCAATTGCAAAGTCTAATTCACCTACCTTATATGAGTATAATCAGACGATACTCACGAATAATTTTTCATAATTAGGTTAAATTTTACCAATTTACATTGTTCCGTTAAAGTTTAATCTACTTGTTACGTAAGCCCATAGAAATTTCAGTTGAATTTTAATTAGAAAAGAAGGAAAACATACCTGATTATAGTGATGCCAGAGATTGACTATGCTTCCTTGCAGATCTTGCATCTATCATCAACGTCTATAACAATAGTGAAGTAAAACCTAAGAGAACTAGTTTTGCCCGTAAAAAAAAAAAAAAAAAAAAAAAGAACAAAGTAGAACTAGTTTTGAGACTCTAATTTTTAATTTAGACTTTTAAAACGAAGCAATACTATTAACTCCTAGCTTTGTAATTTCCGAACCTACATGGACACTACTTTGAGAAATATTTTTAAGTGAACACTATTTTAGTAATTTATTTATTTTTTAACACCAATTTGGCAAATCGTTCAGAGAACTATGACTCGTATTTTATTCCTTGTAATTATCTGCAACTTTGTTTCCTTGTTGTGTCTTGTAGATTCTATACTTTAATTTAGCTGTAATAAAGAGTTTTCTTTAGTTATGAGGTCGATTTGCCACCCAAAACATTACTTAGTTGACATTATATTAATAGCTCTATGTATAGTAAAAATAATTAAGTTATGTTCAACAAACTACCTGTAAATAAAAAAGTTAACAAGGTTAATCAACATAATTTGGCAAAAAAAAAAAAAAAAAAAAGCTCTAGTCATCGTTACAGACAAAATTAAGGTTTTTGGGATAGCTTCGATTTGCTCAGAATTAACAAGCATAAGAGTTGTAACATAACTAGCCTCGAGTGCGACCGCCTAGGGCCCACGCCCTGTACATATCCACCATAGGTATTAGGTAATAGGTAGTGGGTTTAGATATGGGGGAGGGGGGTGTCTGCTCATGTACCGCCCTGCCCATCCATAGTTCTAGACTTGTGTACAAGTCCAAAACACAAGCGACACTACTAATTAAATGATACGGGAGGATAGCGAATAATTTGTGATACCCCCCATCCCTTATCTACATCCTACCAAAGTTGAAGCGGATTTTTCAAGCATGACATTTGATTCGTCGTGATTTTCAGGTATTTTGGACACGATTGATCTTTTAGAGGAGTCAGAAATAATTTTAAGGGATAAAACTACTCTGCATGTTATGCAGATTTAGAGTCTGGAATGAATGAGCTCAATTGATTAAGATATGATGATGGGCTAAGCAAGTATTCCATAATGCATATGCATTGCCCTCAAATGATTAGGACATCAAGGCTGTCAGGCTGGCTATAGAGAGAGACAAAATGCCAGGCATTCCTTGGCTTCTCAACTGTATCCGTCCAACCTGATTGATCGAGTCGTGCCCCACATTATCCCACTTGTCTCCATGGTCTATAACAAGGGAGCTACAAGCTCTGTTTCAGTTGTTGCATTGATGCAGCAAACTGGCCCAGGGTCTGAACTCACTGGATGCTCATAATTGTAAAAATTACAAAGTTCTTCTCATAAATTATGAATTTATGAGTAATAAACATACGGATATTAGCTGTTATGTGTGCTTTATGTGGCTGATATACACCTTATACAAAAAGATTTAATTCCCTCTATGTATAATTTTCAAGCATGTTTATACACCCTTGCCCCGGCTTATTCTTTTTACACCCGACAGATTCTCAAGATTTGCATTCGAATAAGTTTGATAAAAATTGAAGTCTTAATTCATAAAAGCAAAAATTCAGCTGAAGGAAACAGCTTTGAGCAAAATTATTTCATTGAAACTTCCAAGTTCAATATACTGGTTGGATTTTATAAAAATTGAAGTCTTAATTCATAATAGCAGATCCGGTAGATACAATACTCGTATAACAATGCATAGCACTATATATTGATCTGCAGACATTCAAGAAAGGAATGTATGCAGAAAATTAGCCGGAGTAGAATGTAAAGATTACAAAAGGATAACTAGACTAAGAAGCCCAAGTAAAGGAAGATCCAAAACTGCAGGGAATTTCATAACCACATTCTTCAACGGTAATTTCTGTAATTAGGGCTGTACATGCAGCTCTCAGCATATTTTACCAGATTCTCTGGCTGTGGAAGCCGACTAGCCAAACCTACACAAAAGCACAGATGGATAATCAGCGGACTACAAGAAGATCCAAGTATTTCTTCATATATCAGACAGTTAAAGTAATTGCTCACCGAGTTCATAAGCCTTCTCTGCAACTTTGGCAGCAATATTAGCAGATATATTTCTAATGTCTTTGTATGGTGGATAGATAAGTCCCTTCGCTAAGTGCTCTTCTGTAACTTGTGCAGCCAATGCCTCAGCTGTTTACAGATTGATAAAGAGTTACTTTTACTTTTTCTCCGTCAAGGAAGATAACAAAAATCATAGGGTAGGAAAAAAAAAATGGTTTTATTGTGCTATTTAAAAAATTTCTGAAAGACCCAGAGAGATTAGCTTCAAAAGTAGGAAGAAGATAGAGCTGGTCAAAACTGGCCTCATCCAACTCAGGCCGTGTTTACAGAATGCCAGCCCAATTGATCGGACTTTTATGGGGAGTATGTTACCGACTCCAGCTCAATCTATACCCGATCTTATCAATTTTCTGCAGTACTTTCCAGGCCAAAATGCAGCCTGGCCTGATTTTTTGGACAATGGAACAGTCCATGATCAGCTCTAGAAGAAAAGTTGTATGAAGAATTGTAGAGGCTATATGTCTTTGCACAATCACAAAACAAGAAATCAAAATTTGTAGTTTAAACTTTTACAGTTTCAGTGGGGCACTTACAGGCAGCCAAAAGCATGTCATCATGAACACGAATAGCACCACACATTATCAGACCCAAACCAAAACCAGGGAATATGTAAGCATTATTTGCCTGCAACATGACAATTAAAGGTTAACTTTCAATCTAGATAAAGAGGGTCCCTAAAAAAAAGGCAGTGGTTGCAGGTTAGACCTGTCCAGGAACAAAAGTATGTCCTTCATATTCGACTGGATCAAATGGGCTTCCACTGGCAAATATTGCTTGGCCCTAAATCATTTCAAAGAATAAAGCCATATTTATGTCAGTTTCATCTTGTAGAAAAGAAAGAAATAAAGGTGAGAATTGAAAATTGAAAAGGCAAACAAAAACGGTTATTTACCTTGCTCCATGTGTAGGCCTCCTCAGCAGTACATTCTGACTGTGATGTAGGATTTGATAGAGCAAGGATGAGAGGTTTCTGCACAGATAACCACATGAACACACTATGTTAAGCTTACAACTAGACCTAGCAAAACCACGCCGTCCCAGATTACTTGAAATTACATGACCCAAATTTGATCAAACTATTTACCCAACGTCTCAACCTGACCCGACTCAAAATTAATGTCACAATAAACCCGAAAATGATCTGACCTGAAGCCAAACTAAGTGAATCATCGCACAAATATGGCTCCAAACCTAAATCGTCTAAATACAAAACAAGAAGCAGAAACATAAATGAAAGTAGAATGGTACCGAATTGATAGATGACATGGCTTCAACCACCTCCTTAGTGAATGTCTTTCCCTTTCCAGAAGTACCTATCAACACAGTGGGTTTGATTACCTGAGAAACAAAGGACACAGAAGTAAGTATAAAACTTTAGTCACAAGAAAATCTCTTATTGATGAAATGCCTTTTTAGTAGCCAATTCTCGTTCACCTGTACTGCTTCTAAAAGAGTTGTAACAGGTTTAGCCTCATGTGCCCAAGGCAGTTTGAAAGACTGAAGCGACTCCTTCCTAGAGCTAACAACAAGTCCCTGCCATCAAAATAGTAAATAAATATTGTAGTAAAAGATAATTAGAGTCAAGAATGATAAAGTAATGGCCTTTATATGAAATTTTAATAAGCATCAGGATGAGTGGATAATACCTTGGAGTCTACAAGCCATATCTTCTTTCTCATTTCTTCAACAGGAGCATTTGTCTGTGCAAAAACAGCAGAGAAAAATAGTAAGGTGGGATAAAAAAAAGGGGAGTAAAGATGAGAGCATGGTTGTAATGAATTTCCAGAAACAAAAAAATGAATAAATTAGGACCAGTTTGATACCTTGTTTGACATCTCACGAGCTATAAGCTCAGCGATACCTGTTCCAGCCTTCAGATAACAAAAGTTTCAAGTGTCAGATAACAGAAGGAACTATCTAAAATTAGAAAGGACTGAACATGTATCCAGTTGAACCAAGGGGTGGGGGGAGGGTGCAAAAGGCAAGAGAGCTGCAGTAGCACAACCAGCATCATCTGAAGTTATTTGAAGAAGTGACAGAATACAAGATGATATGTTGATATTATTTCAATATTTCTTTATCCAGGAAGCAACTTTTAGCAGTTTGGGCAACATACGAATACCAATAATACTGCATATATAATGTGTTTCTCAAAATAAGCTTGTTAAATTGCTCACTTCTCCAGCGCCCAAAAATAAGAATGTATGGTCAGCCAAGTTTCCTCCCAGTGGTTTCAAAGAGGCAATGAGCCCAGCGAGAACCACAGAGGCAGTACCCTGCACTCAAAACAAGGGGTTTTACATTAGTTGAAACTTCTAAAAGAAATCACACGATCTTAAGTCACGAGAACTTTCATCACCTGTATGTCGTCATTGAAGACAAGGTGAGTTTTGCGGTATTTCTCCAGCAATTCAAATGCATTATGGTTGGCAAAATCTTCGAACTGTATGAATGTCATAATAACAACAGAGTTAGTTTATTGGGAAAACATGTTTATTGTAATTAGAGGCTCAGAATTTGTGACTGACCTGTACTAGGATTTTCTCGCCATAGTTCTGCTTGACTGCAGACATAAATTCCTGAGCAAACTCAGCGTATTCATTCCCTGTAGCCCTATTTTGCTTCAGACCAATGTAAAATTCGTCGTTCAATAGCTTCTCATTATTTGTGCCAACATCAAGGGTTATAGGCAAGCACTGCAAAGGAAGAAGATAAGATAAACATACAGTTAGATCTGGGAGTAGGGGACTTAATAGCATGCCTTTACGCATCCAGATGAACTAATAGTCAGTACAGATTACATGCTTCACATACAGAAACCATAAAAATGATTACAATATAAGAGCTTAATCGAAATCAATTGCTTACTGCTGAAGGGCGAACTCCACCAAGTGCTGTGTACAAGGAAAGTTTTCCAACAGGTATGCCCATTCCCTAAACAAAGTAAGTTTGTCTTATCAATCATGACTACATGAATCTAACAGAAAAATCAAGGTAGAGTGGAGGGAAGTTAAAAAGGAGTGTCAGAGACTTAAAAAGGAAGCAGATTAAACATGCTCAATACCTGGCAACCAAGGTCTCCTAGTCCAAGGATACGCTCACCATCAGTAACCACGATAACTTGAATATTCTTTTCAGGCCAGTTCTTCAAAATCTCAAGAATTTTTCCCCTGAAACACCAAAAGACATCAAATTCTGACTTCCTAAAACATAATGCAAGTCAAACAAACTATTTTTATCCTACAAGGAAAATAATGAGAATGCTCCAGAAAACATACTTATCCTTCAAACTGATGAAAAGACCTTGGGGGCGTCTAAAGATACTTCCATACTTTTGGCAAGCCTCACCAACAGTTGGAGTGTACACTAGTGGTAGCAATTCTTCAACATGGTCAATAAGAAGCTTATAAAACAGTTTCTCATTCCTCTCCTGTAAAAATTACAGCATCAACAGATCAATCATGCAACACTTACATCTTACTATGAGTCACCACATACATTTAAGTAGCATTTTGCAAACTGATGCCTGTTCAGAATTACTTTTGAGATTATTATGTATTATATGATTTCCATCAAAGTATATCATTTATGAAATTAGTGGCTGCGAGGTCTGTCTTTAATTCAACACTCCAAATTGTACATGTACTGTCCTGTAAGCCAAGATCATTACCATTGTAGCTCTCCAGCTCCAGAAAGTACAAATAAAATTCTCAAATTAACATCAGATTATTGGCTTACACTACTTAATTATTAGTAGTACATGTAAAAATAAATTTGAACTGACAAAATAGCGCCATACAGTAACAACTTTCGTAAATGTCAAACACACAGATATACCTGAAGATCCATCATAGCAATGTATTTCTGCAAGGGAGTTTCATATTGTCTGAGAGTCGCCAAAAATTTCTTCGCCTGATGTTCCAAAATCACGATTAAGAACTACTACTCTAAAGCGAAAAAAGCTTAAACAAATTTGACAAACAAACAAGGTTTAGTGATTTAACCTGAAGCTCCTGAGACAGACATGCAGGTGGTAATAAACCACGCAAGTAGTGAGCATCTCTTTCTTTCTCTGTAAAAGCAAGCCCTTTGTTGTGATGGGGATCCCTCAGCAATGTATACCCACTGCAATAACAGTACTTGATTAATATATGATCATGACAAATCTTTTCGGCTTTTTCGCAATCAAAAACATCCAAAGAGTTCAACACATGCCTTAAGAAAATATCTGTTACAAATTTCGATCTAATACAGGTAAAATGCAGTAATGCAGAAGTCTTGTCTTGACTAAAAGAACATCCAAGAACTAGTTAATCCATAAATCTTTAAATCCAGGAAATAATTTCTCAACCTCCATTTCTGTATAATCACGAAAATTATTCATATATTATGATCAAGCCATAATTTCCTTTTTTGATCTCACAATCAGACATTACATGAACACAACAAAGCAAAAAAACCCATTTCATATATTCAATTTTTTTTACAGTAGTTACTTAGAATAATTTAAACATTGTACAAGAAAGAAACCCATATCAATATATTATGATGCACCAACACGTAAAAGATCAAAATACTACCATGAAAAATTTACTAGAAGCAACAAAAACGACAATACTCAAGACGAGATCAAACCCGTCTACGTAACATAAAATAAATGTAACAATCACCTGGCAACAGATACTGTCCAAGGAGTGATATGTTGAGCCTCGGTGGCAGAATCCTCACCGTACACGTCCTTAACACCCCCACCAACACCGTTGGATCCTTGAGTCATCTCATCCAGTGCATTACCAGTACTCATAATTCCTCTAATCACCCTTTTTTCTCTCTCTCCTTTGACCTTCAAATTGACCAATAATCTCTGCAACAACAAAAAAAAAAAAAAGGCACAAAAACTAACAAACCCAGAAAATCAATGAAACCCAGAAAGATACAAATTGTTCCTTTTGTTGCAGAAAACGTGGGTTATTTTTATAAGCAAATTTAGAAATGTAAACAAGGGTAGAATTAGAATTATTTTTAATTTTACAAAAATAAAAAAATAAAAAAAAAGTTTGATTTGTCTTAGGACTAAGATTTGGAATCAAGATAAAGCTAAAACGTGGCTTAATAAATTTGATTAAAGAATTGTAAAAGTAAATGTGAATTACCAAAAAATGTGGTCTGTTTCTATTGAGTGACATCATTATTACAGTATTTTTGGGTAATTAGTAGAAGAATTTGATTTGGGTGATGCAAGAGCCAAGAGGAAGGTGTTTACTGAGAAAAGTCAACTATCTTTTATTGTAAAGTCAAAGGAGAGAGAAAAGTTTTTGTGAGAAATACGCGTATGTTGTTGGTGAACCATGACTAGACTGCACTTTTAATTATAAAATGGTGTGCTCATACTAGCAGTCTAGAAATGTAGAAATTGTGGAATTCAAATGTGTTCATACATTATGTCTAAATTTAAATGCTATAATTGTACAAATTTACTCAAATGGGAAAAGAATCAAATTACAATTTAAAAATTAGAATCATAACATTAACGTTACTCAATTTTGTATGTTGAATTAGACTATGCTACGATAGTTAATTAAAACTTATTTTACCACCTTCATTTGATCCACTTTGATATGCGTGCATTTGTTAAATTGATACTGTATAATTTTTTAAAAAAATGAGTTTATCTTAGTTTCGAAAATATGTTTGTGACTATTGCACCAAAAAAAAAAAAAAAATGTTTGTGACTATACTTTTATAGCCAATTTGAATGTCATAAAAGATATGTCAATAATTTTAAAAGATATTGAAATATTGCCATTCCATTTTCTTGCAAGTACTTCCTAATTAACAATTTCCGTAACAAAACTACCAAAAACATTGATTAGTGTCAAATTAATGCTAGGTGGTGTTAGAAAATATAAATAAACCTATAATCAATGTTTGAAGGAATTGTTAGGGGGTGAGGTTAGGGTAACCTCAAAGGTTGATATCCATTTTAGACAATTAATAGAGTTTTTTTTTTTTTTTTTTTTTTTGATGAAAAGAATGGCGCCTTAATTCCTTATATTAATAATAGAGTTTATTAAATACGAGAGTATTGATCAACATTAAATTTATTGAATAGATGTTTATCTACGTTCTAAAAAGTTTCATCGACAAATATTGTTAAAATGTATCTTTTAGATAATTATTAAATAGCACCAACTATGACTTACTGACTTTATGAGTCTATGAATCTAGGCATCATAACTAAGGGTGTTTTTGGAGCAAAGTTCCCAAAAGTAAAATTAAAATAAGAATTTGAATGATGGAGTATTGTACTACAATCTACATTAATATCACACCAAAAAAAAAAAAAACATGTAGACCAAATAAACTAATCTTGTACAGGAAAACGAGGACATGTAATGATATGAATACAAAAGGAACGAGGAACTCAAATCCCTCGAGCCGCCCGTGGGTCGCACCATGCTACCAGCAACGAAGCCTGTTTGCCGCTGTTAGGCCAATTGCTGCCCTTGATTTCTCTAGCACGTTGCAGCAACATGTTAAACAATTGTACTGTGGTAGTATGATCGAAGTTGAGTACTTGAGTTGTCACATTGCCAATTAATTTTATGTATTTTTGTTGAGGAAGCATTGCCAATTACTTAAATAGTCACATCCTATTATTCGCACACAAAAAACAAGTCTTAATTATAGAAAGACTGCAGCTATGAAATAGAGGAAGTACGCTTAAACTTTCTTTCAAAAAAAAAAAAAAAAAGTACGCTTAATCTGCAAAAAGAATCATTGTATTGAATTTTATTCGATTCCCCAGTAAAATATTTCTGGTTATATGAAAGCTATATAATGATCTGGGATTACTCATCTTTATGACCATCCATACAGGCCAAAAAAAAAAAAACACTTCAGCAATCCCTAATAATCTCTGATTCTAGGACAGCTTCTTCAATAGCCATCACACCCTCCTTCAAGGTTTCTTTGCTGTAGTTCATTCAACATACACAGATGTACTCATCTTTATGACCATCCATAGAACCAACTTGCACTCATGATACATCGTTTGAGTTCTTACTAGCAACATACACAGAAAACAAAGCTACATGAAAGAACTACTCTATAGACTAATAGACTATAGTCTATACAATCTCATATGTACTTCTAGATGCCTGTCCTTCACAGGAAAATCTATCGATAGCTTAGTCTCACTTGTTCCGAATAGACACCTAATCTCCCAAAGAAGACTATGACATGGGAGCAAATACAAATGCAAGTACATATAACATATTCAAGAAGCAATTACACTCTTATCGCATGTCATCTGCAACCTGAGAACTCCGAACTCCCCAGAAAGTTTTTTGGCTTCAACTTCTTGTTTGCGGCAGTAAAGAGCCAACCCATGTGACTCTCACAGGTAGCACAGTTGGCAATGGTCCATTTATATCTGCAAAACATACATAAACAAAGAGCTTATATATTAATTGTTGCTAAAGGAAATTACTTCCACTTCACTCCTATGGTACAACTCAAGTATAATAGCATACAAACCGAAACATATAATTTGGCAGTAATAATGATCTGACAAGTATTAAAATTGAATAGCATACCCTGGAAACCAGCTGTATTCTTCTCTTGGTCGGCCAATCAGTGCCAAACCATTGGCTTTGTAAAGAGTCATTATCTCATGCACAAAGCCATTTGGATTAACATATGCACCAAGAGGGCCTTCGTTAGACATCACCAGCATATCACTTCGCCTGGCAATTACAGTCTGTAACAAGGCAAGAAGAGGCAGAATCATATTAGTCAAGGTATTACACAATTTAAACTCATTTTGACAAATACATCTTTTAGCACAATAGGTAAGAAACATCAAAAGCAAAGTGCATGGTATAGCTGCATTTTAGTTGCTGTAGTAATGGGTAAAAAACAATAATGATGGTGGAGGTTCTTATTATCTGAATCAAGAACCTTAGGTACCCAGTGCCAGTCTCATTACAAACCATAAGCTAAGGCCTAAGGACACAGCTCCCGACCCTCAGTCCTTCCTTTTTCATCCAACTAAAAGACGAAAAAGGTTGACAGGAAAAATAAAAAGGCTGGAAATTTAAGTAATTCGATAATACCTGACAGTTTTTACACCTCACACGATCAAATCCTTCAAGTAGTTCGATTTCTCGACGTAATCTATAGGAGACTCCATTAATTTCTAGGAGTTCCTGTCTTGTAGACTCGGATATAGGAATTTTACTGGCAATATAAAATGACAAGATATCAGGCTTTCTGACAAACCCATCCATACTCGGCGCTCCAACAACCTGCTTCCACATATCTGCAAAACAAGCGGAAGCACCCTTGTAAGAAATTGCAATGCACCTTCAACATAGCCTACTTAGATTTCCTCACTTTCACATCAGAACGCAAAGTCTCAAAAGTTAAATCAAAACTAAAGCTTCAGAACGAATGGTCCTCATAATACTTCCATAAGAACAGTGTTAAGGTCACAGAAGCTAGCACTATTACACAAGGATGCATTTATGAACCTTTTATTTTAGTTGGAATGGAAACTGGTCGTTGACTCAACCTAAAAGTCTGCCACAGTGCTATATCTTTTATGAGCAAAATTATCAACATATTTATTTTATGCTCTGGCTACATCACTAAGAAGAATATATAGTATAGCTGCTGCAGTGTCAGAAAATATTTCACAGGAATGAGGAACCATTTGACATTGGGTAATGAGAAAGACAGCAAAAAGATCAGACCTTCAAGAAAATAAAATTGGGAATCGAAATCCATTCCCTTGCTCCTTTTTTTAAAGCTTTATTTATATTGGGAACTAGTTCTCCCTAATTTCAACTTATTGCAATTCCACCTTATAGAAATTGAAGCTCAATCACTTTAACCACACAAAATTCATCATCCACAATCATACATTAAGACTTGCAGTTGCAAAAAAGCTTTCCCAAATTACAACAGCTAGAAAAATGAAATTTCATATATACTTTCTATGCCAGCAGAGCATGACAGCCCTCAAACACAGTGTCAATAAAAGATACGCTAAAGAACTACAGTAAGATGCATTACATAACCATCTTTCACTGTGAAACTATATCAACGCACAGCCAAGGCTATTCATTCACCAAATACCTGATCTAGGACAGAAATGTGCAGGAACTTTATGCAGATTACAGACATCAGGATTTTGAGATTTTTAACTGAAGGAGAGGGAGTGCCACCAAATATAGACATAGAACATAATGTACAGAAACATTTTGCAGATTACAGGCGTTTTTGACTAAAGGAGAGAGAAAGAGAGAGAGAGAGAGTACCTGCTGCCTTTTGAGCAAGAGTGAAAGAGTCATACATCTGGTATACCCAGTATGGCAAGAATGCTCTGGGAACTGCACGGAACTGATTCAAATTGGCAGACATACCTCTCTTACCCCATGCATCTCCTTTCTGAGGCGATTGGTTAATTTTATCTTTGTTTGCAACTCCTGAGGCAACATCTATTCTCCTTCGACACTTTGATTGTGATGAACCATCACTTGATTTAGATTGTCCAGAGTGAAGCTCTGATTCACAAACATATTTCTCATCATCACTGCTTGTTGACTCATCAATCGTATCATATGCGCAACAGGACTCAACAGCACATTGATGCAATCTCATCTCTGAAATTGAAAGCTCATTCAGAAAACTTTCCTCCGACTCTGCATCAGAACAATTGCTTTCAACTGCATCTCTATGTCTCTTAGCCTGATGATGAGATTTTGTAGCATCAGAAAAGCTCCGGCTACTAAGGTTACTTAATGGCGGTAAGGTTCCAAATGCATCACGTGGGGTCCTCAAAGGCAAGTCTTCTTCAATGACCTCAATCTCTCCACAAGGCTAAAGACACAAATTTATTTGTCAAATTAACTCCTCAAAGCGGGATAAATAGCATGACAGTAGTAGCATTATGGTAATACAACATTGGGTTTGTTCTTACAGCTCCATCGGTATCGATCCAATGGCGTCTAACATGGAATCGCTGCTTTCCACAAGTAACTACATTGACAGATCCATCCTCCAAACGACGATATTGTCGAATCTGAATCAGTGGTAACAAAATTTTGAATTAAGTAATTCATGATCAATGTAGTCTACACATAGGCTACTAGATGTACCCTATTTTTTTTTTTATTATTATTATTATTATTATTTTATATTTTTTTTCTGATAATAATAATAATAATAATAATAATAATAATAATAATAATAATAATAATAATAATAATAATAATAATAATGATAATAATAATAATAATAATGGCCTTTCCGACTGATGACCATT